GGCTAATGTTTAGCAGGTATAAATGTTGCTTCTCTATTGCAAGATGATGCACCATATGCCTTTTGAGAGTCTCCTCATCACATGCCCTTACATTAGCGTAAAAATATTTTTTCTACGGTGCCCTTTTTTTGCCCCAAACAGTTGTCTCAATCAACAATATCAACATTGTGACAGTCTAGCTGGTGCCCACAGAGATTACTCCAGCCATCACGATGTATACTCCTCTCAAAATGTAAGACACTGCAAAATCATAGTCGTGTGCGTGCATAGGACCTTGAACATGTAAGTAGTGACCACTTCTCTTGTGTTCTCTGCACTGGTGCATGCTTGTCGCACACCTGTTCAAGATTGTGACAGTGAAATTAGTTCTGGCAATGCTGTCTCAGAGGTAAGACTGTGTACACCCCCAGGAACACCATGGTGGAGCGAGCAGAGGTTGATATCAAACGTTGTTATAAACTGGCAACACCATGGTGATATAAGCACACTTGCATTAATTGATTACATTAATTTATAGAGGCAGACATTGCACCGCTAAGCCTAGCTGTGATCTCTTTTCGTTATTGTCTACATAGTTTTCCCATAGGTCACAGCACAGGAAGAAAACTTTCTTTGTGGAAGCACCATATTTTAAGCTTGCATGACTCAAATAAAGCACTGTGCGAACAGATATATTGAAAATGTCACTACTTTGTGTCCTATAAATGGTGAACTGGTTGTCACATTTAGCCGGTGATCCTGCAGGAGCTCTAGCATATACTCTAATGTAATTTTGTATCAACAATGCCTCATACAATAGTTTAACAATGTTTGTTAATGGTCGAGAGGGTGCATAGCTTCAGGGAGGTAATTAAGCTAAGAGGGAAAATTCTAGATGCCTAAGCACCACAGAAAAAATAAAAAAGCACAGGGAAAGAGCGTCACTCGCAGCTGAACTACAGAAAATATTTACACATTCGCAAAATATCACACATTCGCATCGTCTATCATTTCCCCTAATAATGTTATACCAACCAGCCCAGCAACAAGTAATAAAGTGCCGAATGACACTTGCATAAGACAAGAAACACAGGACGTATTTAACTGCCATCTATCTTTATTTGTGGCTTTGGTATAAAATATATAAGGAAACAGACACATGTGCAGTGTGACAGTGTGCAATGTCACAGTCATCAAAAAGCATCACATAACATTGCCTGCTCGAGAAACTTTCCTGGTTTTCAAAGTTTCAACAGATGTGTAACTAATAAATATGGCACTTCTTTTCCAGCTTGAACTGCTTTCAACAGTCCACATCTATCAGGACTGCTGCTTGTGATCTTTGGCTGGTATTTAATCTGAACTGATAAGACCTAATAATAGCGCAACAATCAGCCAGATTTGTCTATCTACTCTTAACGGCCTGTAAGTCCACGTCTAACAACACCTGCTCCACCCTTACAGTGGTCATAGTCCATACGGGTCATTATATCATTCAATTAGCTGCCCACCTATACTTTCATTCATTCATTCACTTCATATTTCTTGAAAATGAAGATATGTGAAACCTATAACTGCTTTGCAAAAAACAAATGAAGTACAAGTATAACACTTGCTATGATGGCTTAATTAAAAGATTATTTCATGATGATGGCTCAGAAGCTTTTTCTAGAAAACATGTAAAGCCCACATGAAGAAGTATGTGTTCCAGGGAAATTTTGAAAGTGCCAAATTCAAAGGGTGTGCAAATTTTCTACGATTTCACATACCAAATTGAATACTGTTCTATTTGATTCAGTCACTAATATTCGTAGAACTAAATATTTTTTATAGGTTAAGAATATTTAAAATGGTAAGTGCACAGAAATAAATAGAAGCTTCACTCTAGGACAGTGATTTTGCTACCTATACAATTGTCACTTACCCTTTCCTAACATTTCTATAGATTTTAAGGGCTTGATTTTTTCTCCAGATACTCGATTCCTGTTTTAAAATTGCTAGGAGTCCTTATCATAAGTGCAAAAAGAGATACAGCCAGTATTTGAAGTACTTGTTTTCATACTGCAATGGAAATAATACATCAACAGGGAAATAGCAATGAAACATTTTGTATTAAAATTTATTTCAAATTTAGTTTGCTGCACAACACGTGTACCAATCAGTGGCCGACAACCATTGGGTATATTTGCACCACGCTCTGCCATAACGAAGCACATGCATCAAACCTGAGAGACACGAGCTCATGCATGCAGGTGCAATTGTTATGTAGGCGTGCCTTGAAAATTGCCTGGTAATTTTAAATAGTTGGCTGTGCAGAAGTCTGTTAGATTATTCTCGAATGTCCAGGCTTACTACAAAATGAGCAATGCTAGTTATGTTGTTGGCTTGTGCCACAAATTTTTTACCACTCATTCTTTAAAAATATTTCCTTATGCTGTCGTTGTACGAGCAAACAAAAATATGTGCATGCTCTTTAGCATACTGTTATTCACAAACTAAATGCCAATTTATTAAAACTCAAGGTAATTAAACATTCATCTTACATAATTACCATCAAACTGCAGGTGAGTTACCACGACAACCAATAGTGACAACTAATGTCACTATATTTTCATTATGAATTTACTAATTTGCATGCTTGCTTCTTTTTCACAAGTTATGCATACCATTATACAATACAACACAACTAACTCTTTTATCAACTTCAGTATTTTATCACTTTCAATCAACCATCATATTGCAAAGTCTTGAAACAAGTCACTTTTAAGACCCACAAGTTTTCTTGTGCCCTTAAAGTGCATCGAAGGCCCTGAAGTGTCAATTAGGCCAAAAGGCATTGGTAAGGCTTGTTCATCAGCATGGGGCAAATCTGTTAACAAAACGTGTTAAAGGCACATGCGTGCACGTGTTTTGGTTCGGTAGTACGTTAACATTAAGAAAGGAAGGAGTGGTGCGATATTTCTGGCACAAGCCAAGCTTGTGGTTAGCATTGCTAACTTTCTAGTTAGTATGAGAGTTTCAGAATAATTCCACCCTACTTTTATTTAGCAATATATCTATAACATGAGGTACAAATAGTCTCTGTTAGTAATTTCACAAACTACAACACCATTTTCAGCAAATCATGACAAAATTTATATGATAGCAAAGAAGAGGCACTGGCAGTTAAAATGAGAAATAAGCTGGACTTAGCTGAGCACAAAGTGAGTTCAATTCAATGCGAAGCATCCAAAGTACTAAAATTTGTTAGTGCCAAGGTCCAGATGACTTAATTTTAAAGTAAATGTTTATGACTGACCTTGTCAAATGTGTTAGACAATTCTAAAACAATTCAGTCTATGAATGACTGCATCAAGAGAATGGCACAATTTATGAGTAAATAAGAGGAGCCTAACTTTGAAGCGTATTTTTAAATCTATACTGCGTAGTGTAGTATGAAATCTAGGGCGACGTAGATGTACTCAGCTGCTGAATAAGCTTTGTTAGAATATAATATTAGAAGTGGTATTACAACATATGTGCAAGTTAAACCGAGTGAAAATAATAATAAATTTTCTTAATCCCAGAAGAACAAAAGAAAATTTTAAAAAATCACAGCATATTCATGGAGTGATCGATGATGAGTGGGATGAGGCGTCCTACCGTGCATGCGTCTTTGCGTCCAATCGTATTCGAGAATGCATATGGTGCACGGGTAACACCGATGAGACGCGTGCCAAGGAAACCGAGCACAAGTGTCTTCAACGTGCCCGCCACTCTGCTTCGTCCATGCCCCACCAGCGATCCACCATGTACGGTGACTATCCAGGAGACTGAGAGATGCGCTCGCTCTATGCATACCCAGGCACAGCTTGCACATGCAGCCAATCGGAGAGTAGGGGTACAGCACCATCTAGTACATCTTTACCCAATTACACTTTCTATGTACTTTTTAAGAAAGCGTCGTCTATTATACTGTTGAGTAGATACCGCCTTCTTTTCTTTCTCATCTCTTCTTCTCTCGGTTACGCGTGACACTTGTACCATATCTAAGGACACAGTGAAAGATGAGGAGTTATTATCAAAAGGACTTATTTGGTTTGCATTCTTTTATGGTTTGTGGGAAGTATGAACATTTATAGCAATTTGATTTGGAAGTGTATTTATTAGGTGTTTGTGAGTGCCTGTAATGTGTTAACTTAAAACTGAAAAAATTAGTTTTGACGTGTAGATGTTTATGTGACTACGAATTAATTGAAACAAAAACTTTAGTCTTGCTATTTTTGCCCTACCTTGTAGTGTTAATAGACCTGCTTTGGCTTGCAACTCTAGAAGAATTCGTTAGATTGCATTTGTTATAAATAAACCTCACTGCCTTTCTGTGCACCCCCTTTTAATCCTCATGATTAGTTACCTTGTATATAGAAACCAAAAAATACTATTATAGTTATATTAGTAATATAATCATTATTAACTTTAAAATATTATTTTTATTATTACCATTGCATCGATAACATTGCATTTGTTTTGCATTTTACTCATTAAATCTGTGTTCCACTCTTACACTGTTCAAAGCAGTATTTATATGGTCCTTACAGAGACCTACATATTTTAACTGCATTTAATGGACTCAAATATATCAGCCAGTCCTGTGATTGTCCTCAGCACATTCTTTCAGGACACCCTGAGGACGTTTCGGATTTTCGAAGGAGGTATGCATTAGGAAATGACTGATGCACTGTTGCCTGTTCTCCATGCAGCCTTACTTCATGTCCAAAAGATCAGGAGATGGCAGTATGAGGCAAAACAGTTAGACCTTTTCAGAGTAGCTTTATGCCTTTCTATGAATTACAGTGCCATGTGCTCCTCTGGCAGAGAGGTGCAAGGCAATATGAGGGAAGGGAGTGCCAGCCCCTTTAAACTTCGATGCAGCACAGAGCAATATTTGGTTATGCATATGTCCAGTGCTTTACGCAAAATGTTTTTTAGTTGTTTGCACTGCTTGAAATACCCTGTGCCTTTTTCAAATGAAACTTGTACTGTTTTGTTGTTTGTTGTTTATTCAAAAATAGATACATTTTTGTGAATACATTTTTTGCATGGCGAATGAACAATCGGAGGTCCCAAAGCAAAAACTGTCAGGGGGACCTCCTAACAAAAAGTAAAAAGAGGATTAGCTTTTTAGTCAGCAAACAGCGACAAAATCACAGCAATATGTAAAAGAAAATGGTGCAAAAACGTAGGGCCATATGAGCAATAGTGACAATTTGCTTGAAACAAAGAAACCCCCCCAAAAAAACATTCAAGTCATAAGTCATTTAACAATAACACCTTAAAGCGCTTACTGAAGGAGTACATTAAGCATGATTTGAGATCAACAGGCAGCATTTTCCACAGTGTTATGCATGAAAATCTTGCCGTCATTTGACCATAGTTGATACGTACTTTAGGTAGAACTAGATTACGGTTACCTGAAAACCTCGTGTTGTTAGTATTTACAAGAGTAACTCCTGAGAAACTGGAAATGTATAATTCATTATTAAGGATACGAAACATGATAATTAGAATTTTGTAGCTGAAGAGTTTATGCAGAGGTAAAATTTTCATATTGCTAAAAAGGGGGGCTGATGGTGATGAAAATGGTTTGAAAGTAATGAGCCTCAAAGCTTGCTTCTGTAATCGTTCTAGACGATTTACATGTGACCAATATGTATTTCCCCACGATCATACGCAGTATGACAGGTGACTATGAATGAATGCGTAATATAAAGATAAAAGGATTTCAGTGGAGAAGTAAGGTCGTGTTTTGATGATTACGTGAATACTGAAAGACACCTTTTGAATTAAGACCTGCGCATGCTCACTGAATTTCAAATGTTTATATAATATCACACCAAAAAATTTTTTAGTTAAACATGCATGAATTGAAGTGTCCATCAAGTGTCACTGCTAATGAAGCGATGTTTGGAAACAACTGCGGGGAATGGAATACCACGAAATTAGTCTTTGATGGATTGATGAGTAACAGATTTGATACAAACCATTAATGAACGTTATTTAAGTCGACGTTTAGTGATTGTTGTAGCATGAGTGGATCCTTGTGTGCGGTAAAAGTAGTAGTGTCATCAGCGTAGATAAGAGCGTTAGTGTGATTCAGACGAAGTGGTAAGCCATTTATAAATAACAAAAACAGGAGGGGTCCCAGGATTGATCCTTGAGGAATGCCAATGTTAGTGGTTTTTGGAGATGAAAAACTCTGGTTTATCTGAACAACCTGCGTCCGATCACAAAGATACCTTTTAATGAGCTGAAGGGGTGGTCCAGATATGCCGTAAAAGTCAAGCTTATGAAATAGGATGGCGTGGTTAATTGTATCGAAAGCTTTAGTAAAATCAATAAACACCACTCCAAAAAGAATACCTTCATCAATTGTCAATTTAATCCTGTCAGTAAAAGTTATTAGTGCAACTTCAGTCGAAAGACTTGGACGAAAGCCAAATTGGTGATCAGATAATATCTTGAATTTAGAAAGGTATTTTATTAAATGGTTGCAAATTAGTTTGTCAACGACTTTACTGAAGAAAGGTAAAATGCAAATCAGGCGATAGTTGTTATAGCATTCGCGATCACCTTTCTTAAAAATGGGGATAATTTTCCCTGCTTTAAGGCCTTTAGAAAACACAGCAGCCGCAAAAGCTTATTGATTAAATAGGCTAAGATTGGGGAAAGTTCTTTTGATACAAGTTTAATTTTAGAAGAGCAGATTTGATCAAGCCCTGGGCCAGTATTCTTTAATGATAAGATGATATTATTAACTTTATCTGCTACCGTGGGATACAAAAAGAAAGATTGAGGAGTACGTGGAAGACTTGACAGTGAGAGTTTTGACTGAGTGTTTGTATTAGTACGTACAGGGGTGCTGAAATGAGAGCTGAAAACCTCACCAGCAGAATCATAATCAGTGTATCTGTTTTCGTTAACACATATAGCAGTTGGGTGCGATTTAGGCTCATTGCTGTTCAGAAATTCTTTAATTACTTGCCACTTCTGCCTTGTGTTGCCATTATTATTTCTAATCTTAATTTGATAGTGTTCCCGTTTAGCGTGCTTTATGGCAGCTCCCAGAATATTGGAATAAGTTTTTAGCCGACATTTGCGTGAATTATTGAATGGCTCTGCCTTGACCTTTTTGCGAAGATTGTCCTTTTTCCTTATAGAATGCATTAGTGCTTTAGTAATCCAAGGATTCCTAGGTGCACGGAACCATTGTAAAATTATGGTTTCAGAGTACGACTGACTAATACATTCTCTTACCTTAGCTGAAGAAAAGTTGAATGCAGTTTCGGCGTTACTTTTGTCATATATTTCGTTTCAGTTAGTCTTTCGAATGGTGTCTACAAAGGTTTTTGAATCAAAAGTAGTGCGCACATTATTTTTACTACGGCGAATCTCTTTAGTACCGAAACACAAAAATATGGGATATTGATCTGTAATAGCAGAATCCAATACTTCTGCTCAGATGTCATCAATAGACAGACGGACCAAAATGTGATCGATCAGTGTATTGGAATCGTACCTAGTTGGAGTACGTATTACTGACGAAAAGCCGCAACCAAGAAAGTAACGTACGTATTCAGAACAGTATTGGCTCTATTGATCAGCGATATTGATGTTTATGTCACCGCATATAACTACGTTCTTGTTCTCTTCAATTAGTTTGTTTAACAATAGCTCAAGTTCTGCGCAAAACTCTGAATATGATGAAGAAGGGGATCAGTAAAGTGATATAATGATGGTGTTACGGTTGGTCATCGACAAATAATGACAGTCAATTTCAATGCAAATGGATTTGCAAAGTGGTGTGCTTTAGGACAAATCAAGTCGCCACCGGTTAGGCACAGAAGATTCAACCAAAATAGCTGAACCGCCTCCACGACTACCCTTACGATGGCAATATTCTGATGTGTAGCCAGAGATTCCATACAGGGCGCCGTCGTGTGAAGTCAACCAAGTTTCTGATAAGTATATGAGTGAAAACGTATGATCGACAACTGAAAATAAAGCGCTAAGGTCATCGTAGTGTTTACGAAGGCTCCTGACGTTAAAATGAATCAGGGACAGTGCAGACGTATTGTCCTTGAGAAGTGCTTTGGTGCGTTCAAGTGAAAATATGGTGGCGTTCATTTTGAACGGTGACTATAGTATAGTAAAATGGGGCTTACAATCACAAGTTATTTAAATATGGCAAGATCTCCCACGCCAGTGATGTGGTGTGCTCGACTAGCATCCGATTTCCTGGCCTTGATAATGCAGTTATCTGTCCAGAGAAATTTCCATCCCTTGGCTCTTTTCAGCTCAAGGGCTTGTGCAAAAAGTCGCTTATTCTCTGGTGTCAGGTGGTCATTGACGTAGATAGGTGCAACTGAATGCCCTGAAAGCCCAATAGCTGTTGTATTAAGTCTTGCCTTTTTTGCTTTAGTAGCGAAGTCTGTTTTTTTCGACCTTGAACAGAACTTCCCAATAATATACGTGCCCTGCCTTACCGGTACATGGTGCGCTATATCTACATCACTTGGGGCAATTACACAGCCAACTTTTTCGCCAATGACCTGCACAACAGCGAGGCAGCTCTCGCCATCTGTCTTTGGAATACCTTTTATTTCGACATTGTTCGTCTGTGAATACTGCTTAACGTCAGAAAGACGCTGCGAGAACAGCCTGCAGTCATCTTTCAGTGATTTGCTTTCATCCCTCAACTCCTTGTTTTCTTTCGCGAGAGCTTCATTTCTTGCCTTGACTGATTCATAAATTTCATTGAATGCCTCAAGGCTGTTTTGCATGTCTGAAACCTCAGAACGGAGAGCTTCTATCTCCCTTGCCAATTCAGCATTCGTAGGCATAGTGACAAGATGCAATCACAACACAAAATGGCAGCAGCGGCAGTGGCTATGACAGAGCACAAAAAAGAGAAAGGACTGGCAAAGCACCAACCTGTACAGAATTCAAGTCGATAGTTAGAAGCAGTCACGCTGCCACAACTACTGCTGCTAAATGATCGCCATCCTCCAGGAGAACGTCCTTATGTAGGCTCTTGTCCCCGCTAGGCGTCGGAAGTGCAGACTACGCAGGTGCAGAAGTGCAGTTCAAGCCAGCCCAGCAAGACAGCCATGAGAGCGAAGCAGCCAAACGTAACACATTTATTACTGGAATACACGCTAACAGCATACGACGATCAGCCAGAGGCAACAGGTTCAGTAGATCTGTACAGAATTCAAGTCGATAGTTAGAAGCAGCCACGCTGCCACATCCACTGCTGCCAAATGATCTGGCATACAATGAACTGTTGATGTTGTCAGAATCAAATGTACAAAAAAAACCATCATAAAGGCAGTGAGCACTTATCTCTTATTTGCCTTGCACTACAGGTATTTTGAGATAAACAGAATGACCATAAGGATAATAATAATAATAATAATTCACACCAAATGGTTTCATTATAAGAAATGATTCCAGCTGATTCTATTTCCAGGCCAGCTGGTTTCATTTTCAGTCTGGAGTGGTTCTTGCTGCGACCAACTGGAACATCTTGCTAACCTGTGCGCTTCCACTTGGTCCCAGCTGTATACAGCCATGGTTCCAGTTAAAGTGAACTGAAACCGTGGAGTATTTTCACCTGGAAAGGAAAGAATGTAGAAAGTGATGCATCGAAAGACAGAAAAAAAAAAACAAAGCGAAAAGATAAAACAGAGAAAATAACAAAAAAAAAGGCGAGCTCTCAATAAGAAAGAGAGAGGAAAAGAGAGAAAGAAGGAGGCACACACACCAAACTTCTCTCGCCCCCATTTTTGAGAGCTCCTCGTTTTTTCCCTATGCATCACTTTTAAAAATACTATTACTTGGCTAAATTTTCGCTCCTATGCAGAGATCAACTGAATTGATGGCACCCTCAGATTTAACCTAATTGCTCATTGTCACATCCTGTCCCAAAATTCTCATGCCTGTTGTTGTGCCAGAAAACAGCTTTGCGATGCAAATCACTATCGTGCGGGTGAGGAGCTGGATCATGCGCAGATCATAATGTAAGCCTGATCGCACGAAGTAACAGTAACAACTTAGCAGTAAGCCATCCATAATAGAAGCATTGAGTGGGCCCTTAAGTTATGTCATGTTAACTGCAGAAGTGGAAGATGTGCTTTGCCAGCATATTCTTCAACTAAGAGCCATGCACTACAGCTGTGTTTTGTATGAATATAAAAGAGAGTACCGCTTGAAATGTTAAATACACTGACTATACGATTAAAAATATGGTAATCGGCATTCCTAAGAGTTACATTTTCTTGTATAAAACTGACACATACCTATGTCAAGATTCGTGCTGAAAGTATGTCTTGCACAAGGATATATTTGAAAAATTCAGCAGATTCCACGTAGCTTAAGAATTGACGTTATGCGAAGACCCCGGAGGCATGCTTAGCATGACCATGTTGTAATTTTCTTATAGTGGCACGTCATGAATTTACGCCAAATATACATCCAAATGTTGCATGCACAGACATACATTGAAAAGTTCCAAGTGTTTATATAACCAGTTGTTTGTACATGTGCGATGATGAAAACGAACTTGAGCATTAGGAACACCAGAAGCAATAAGCTGATATGAAGCGCTGGGGCTAGCGAGGATGGTAGCCCTGGACGCTGCTACATAAGTAAGCTTCAGCGCATGGACCTAGCAACAATTGACGCTAACCCGACGTCAAAGCTGCATCATAGGTGTACATATGTAATATTTATAAAATTGGATAGTTAGCACTGCAACCCTTGCAACCACAATTGACATTTCATGAGCATATTAAGGTATTAAGCAATCTGAAAAGTAGGTCCGAGATCTGACGTGGCTTTGTGGTAGAATATGCTTGATTGCCATGCAGAATGCTTGGGTTCGATTACTGCTGGGACCTTGACATTTAGTCTTGGCATTCGTAGGGTTAGCACTGCCGATGTAAGGCTTTTTAGATGCGAAGCATCTCTTTGACTCACATGTGTAACGCCGTACGTATGTAGTCCGAATGCACCGCATTAGTAGTCCGAATGCACCGTACGTAGTCGCGGCGCGTTTTCCTCGCCGCAGGTATTGGAGCGGTGCCAAGTAGGTCAAGTCGCAGCGGAGCGTTAACGTCTCACCCGCAGCAGCTGCCGGCTCCTCCACCCACTCGCAACACACATCTCTCTTGCTTCACTCTTTCCACCGCCGCAACACTCGACCGCACGCCAAGTGGAAACACCCTTTCAGCTCGTTATCTGTGATGAAACGTACTCGAAACCCAACCCGCCTCCCATGTTTTTGTGTTTCAAACAAACGTTTACTCGAGTAAATGTTACACCTAGTTTCGCTTCAAGCCGTTCTTCCAGCACCCGCGTCGACGCCCGTTTCAACTGGGTCAACGCTGTGTGCACCACTGCTGCTTCGCAACCCAGCAGGGTTCACTTCGGGAAATGGTTCATAATTTCGTAATGCTCACGCGTCAAAATTTTCCACGTGTGTTCTCGTCATTCCTGGGTAGATGCAAAAAAAATTAAGTGTCAATTACTTGTGGCACATACCCGCCCGCGGGTATGTGTCACTATTTGGCAGGAAGTGTTTGACGACACACGTGACAGGATTGTGACCTTATTCAGGTCTTAACCAGTGCGTCGTATTCGTCAAACTATGGAACCCTCCCATACTAATTTTGGTACACGCGAAGTTAAGGAGGTGATCACGAGAGCACCAGACGTCAGCGGGTAGATAGATAGATAGATAGATAGATAGATAGATAGATAGATAGATAGATAGATAGATACGCTCAAAGTCACGAAGTTCACTAAGTAATGCTTCGCATTTCAAACTCGATAGCAACATCCGCATCCACACGTGCGCGCGCGCACACGCACTTTTAATGCTGGGTACCCCTAGCTGCCTCTAGCACGCGCACGCTATCGCGTTCCTTTGTACTCACCGCTGCGCCTGTGGAGAATACAAAAGAACGCAAGGGCTCACGTGCGCAAGTCGCTTGGAGCCCCCGCACTGAAACTCTGTATTGATAGCCTATTTCACTCCTGCAAGGGCTGTGTGGCGCAAAGAAAACATGAAGGTGCAAACGTCCTTCGGCTAGCTCTTACCTCGAATTTTCAGTGACACCCAATGCAACGCTGCCTTTTATTTAGTGCTGACGCCACATCAATACCAGAATTTGCCATGAAAAATTACCAAGGAAGCACCGGACGACCCAGCCCAGCTGCACAGCCATTTCGGTTTAAGGAGTTTTTTAACACTCATTTAGGAACCAACCATACTGCATCGTGTCAATGGTCGGTGGAGCTATCGGTATGTGTACGTTGCGTGCTCACAAATCCGCATTAGTCTTGCAACAACGCGTTCGCATGCATGTGCTACAACAGCGCAATATGCTCCCACGCGCTGCAAGCAAGAGTTCAAGTCGAGCAGACGAAACTTCGGCGGCCGCAGCTCGGCAGCGACATTACATTCCAGCACCGTTCCAGACAGGTGACTGCAGCACCACGGCAAGGCCTCCCGCTAGGTGCTTTTCTCACGACCACGCGCGGCCTAGGTGCCAAATTGCGCGAACATCCCCAGGCACTTTAGTCCCTAGTGGTGCGCCCGCGCTGGCTGGAGCGGTGCGGGTATGTAAAGGCACCGCTGGCTGTGTTATGTGTGTGTCAGCGCTTCCTCTATTTCGGTGTTCTGTGGCGGTTTGTATTATTGTGATATTATTCCTTGCGAATATGGTGATGCTTGAGTGCTGACTGTTCTGTGTGGACGTTAGTTCTGAATGCACGGTGCGCTGTGACGTGCTTTAGTGAACGCTGTTACAAGTGTACTTGCTGCATGTGGTCGCGCTGCACTGTATTTGATCCGGACCGTGTAGCGGTGACTAATACCGGTTTTCCTCGAGAAGTACAGCGCGCAACAACTTTGTCGCTGCTGCGCTGTACAGCATCGAGTTTGGCGCAGATGCCCCGACCGCGATCGCAAGTGTCTGTGTGACACCGGCGGTATGAATATCGCATTATTTCCGCTACTCGCACAGGTAGTCCAAGTAGCATAGAGAGAGAGAAAAAAAGCTGTGACTGCGATATCCCCTGTCGGTGATCACACGTGAATGCTTATACCAAGTTAAACCGTTCAGTTCTGTACACTTTTGTGGCCTCTACTTCTTTGGCTGCTGCTTACACGACAATGCAAGAAAAAAGCAGTCTATTAATTACATCAAAATTACGCACAAACGGTGCATCATACTTAGGCAAGTCCCTAGAATATATAAAACGTCTGCAAAGAAGCCCATGTACATGTTCGGTCTTGCAAACAAGCTTATTGCTCACGCTTTTGGCAAATTTTGTTGTTAGGGTTCTGCTGACATGAGCCGCAGTGGACCACCGCATTATACATATACTGTATGATTGGTGTGTCAAGTGGCGCATTATACATATACTGTATGATTGGTGTGTCAAGTGGCCACCTGTAAATTGCGATCTGCATAAAAAAGCGGGTGCTTTGCCTTCAGCGCAACTTTGGCATGCTCACTTTTGCTTAACACTTAAAACTAAACCTCGTCGTACATTGAAAGTGCCATCATCATCAGCCTGACTACGCCCACTGCAGGGCAAAGGCATCTCCCATGTTCTGCCAATCAACCCGATCTTGTGCTTTTCGTTGCAATTTATACCTGCAAACTTTTTAATCTCATAGACCCACCTAAATTTCTGTCTCCCCTTCGTGTGTTTGCCTTCTCTGGAAATCCAGTCAGTTACCCCTGATGACCAGTGGTTATCCTGTCTACATGCAATGTGCCCGGCCCATGTCTATTTCTTATTCTTGATTACAGCTATGGTATCCTGAACCCTGGTTTGTTCGCTGACCCACTCTGCTCTCTTCTTGTCTTTTAAAGTTACACTTATCATTTTCCTTTCCTTCGCTCAATGGGTCATTCTCAATTTAAGCTCAACCCTCTTTGCAAGCCTCCAGGTTTCTGCTACATAGGTAAATACTAGCAAGATGCAGTTGTTATATACATTCCTCTTGAGGGTTAGTGACAGATTACCATTCATGTTTAGAGAAGGCTTGCTGAATGTGATCAACCCCATCTTTATTTGTCTAGTTACTTCACTCTCATGGTTCGGCTTCGCGGCACCTACCTGTCGTAAGTAGACATATTCCTTTACATTTTCCAGCGTTTCTCCACCTATCGCAAAGTGCTGTTTTCTGCCGAGACTGTAGCACATTACTTTAGTTTTGTGGACATTCACTTTTAGACCTACTTTCCTGCTTTCCATGTTCAGTTCTGTTATCGTGAGCTGTAATTCATCTCCTAAGTTACTCATCGAGGCAGTGTCATCAGCGAATCGCAGGTTACTAAGGTACTTTCCATTAACAGCGGTGACGCCGGAACGATGCCTAAACACTGCTTGTTCTTCGTGCAGCTCCTCAGATTTTTCCATGGCTTCTTCTGCGACGGCGCTGCCTCATCGTCCATGGTGCCTTTTTTGCGACACGTGGAACCTGCCGATAGAGTGCCTCCGGACTGCCCCGTCACTGGTCTCGGTGATGGCCATAGCGTGTTCTGCGGCTTTTCGAACGGCCTGCCACGTGCTGAACTATTGATTGAGGCCATTGTT